GCTGGGGCCATGTGACAGTACTTTTTGAAAATATTAAAATATCTCATATTTTATACAACTGCTTTTAATTCACCTCGGGTTAGAATACAAAAAAGGCAAGAGAAACAATTTCTTCTTTGGCCCTGTACAAAACTTCGGAGTTAGCACTGTAGTATTTTTGTGTATAATTCAGTGATGTCAAATGGGAGTGTGTTTAAATGCAGAACTAAGGGGAGGGAAAAAAAGTGTCTATATGCAGTAAGAGAAATTCTTGGGAGAACTCGGAAGACTTCCTTACCCCTGAAAAGTTCTCTCAAGAACAGCAGCGCCAAAGTACACACACGTGCGATTCGAGCAGTGTGTATTTCAGCCCTGCCCAGTGATGCCGCTACCTTTAGGGAATGGGCCACAAACACGTACAAGGAACCAGACCCATCGTTACAAAATGTTCCTCCAGGTTTCTCTCTCTCAGCGCTGTGCAATGAACAGCAACGATGCAGCTGCTTACTTCAGAACGTTTTGTACAAGAATTCCTGCCACAACTCCCATAGTTGTAGGAAGACTGGCGGCACAAACTCCTTCTCGTTTCAATGTTTTCTCATCAATGTTTGCAGCCACTACAAGTGGAGGAGCACACTAAGGGGAGATAGAGAAATTCCATTTTAAAAAAGTGGTTAGAAAAAGCGCAGATCACACAAAATTTTAAGCTGCTCCATCACGATGACGTTCACTGGGCCACCTCATCTTCAAGCTCCCGGTCCCACTTGAAAAGATGGACGAGGAGCAATTTGGCAGAGCGCTGCGTACCGCGAAACACGCCGATTCACCGGGTACCATCAGCTGTATGTGGCCTGACACAGCGTTCTCGCTTACGCCAGATTCCATCCAGATTTGTCCAAGCTCGTTACAGGCCTTAAAAACACAGAAACACACACGTCAGCTCTGCGGAAGTTTAATGAGAAGGAAAACCAAACCAATGTAAATTGAGAGTGATGAAACAAATGCCCTGCATTGGCTGCTGCTATAAAGAAAACCAGTTTGATTAGGTACACAGCCTGATGACGTATTCAGTACACAAGAAGTCCTTTACAGAGTCTTTAAAGAGTTTGTAAGATTTATCATACTGGCTCTGATAATACCTTTATATAAACAGGATATTTTGGAAGGACACAGAGGGCTTGTGGCACTTAACTCTTTCACTGGCCGTTAGCGGCAAGTACCTTAAATGTCTACAGTTACATTTATACATGTGTTAAAATCTAGTTTATAAGACCTGGGTAAAAGTTCAGATTCTGTTTCCTTAGATCAAGGAAGCAACTTCTTACAAGATTTTTGACAAATTCCTATCTTTTCCTCACAATTCCAAGTATTATTCGTAGGAGAAAACAGACTTCCGCAAGCTCACGCCTTCGATGGCCTTACCGTGTTAATGGCCATGCGAGCTTCAAAGTTGTCCACGCAGCTTAGAACCAGATCGACGGGCTTCCCTTCCTCTAGCGCGCCATTCCTGAAACAAGCATCAGGAGTTTGGGTGAAATTGCTGGCAGCACAAAACCCCAACGTGCTGCTGCAGAGCACAAAAGCACGTGGCAAGTGCATTTCAAATGAAACTTGGGCAAATGCAGGACAGGATAAAAGTGGCATCTTCGAGCTACAGCAGAAACAAGAGCATGCTGAAGCTGGGATTTAAATTTGTGGGCATTTAGCTCACAGTACTAAGTATTGGGGAATTGTGTCTTTATACAATGTAACTGCAAATGGGAAAAGTTATTTCAGAACTTCTCAGTGAGATCCTGTAAGAGCTATCTTCTTTCTTCATTTATAACAGTAGAAATAAATGCCAACTCTAGAAAAAAGACCTAGGAAGAAATGTCCTCATATATACACACATTTGCCACTGGTTTTCAACTGGAACTCATTAAATCGAAGAAACCTGCAACAATAAAAATGTGAGGCTGTATTTACAACCACACACCAGCAGAAGGTGAGAGATTTTACCTTATTCTATCCATGAAGTGTTCAAAGTTGTCCAGGGTTGTGATGTTGTAGTTGTGGACTTCAAATTGCACATCAGGATTAATGTTCCTTATAGAGGAAATAATAGGAATCAATGTCAACAAATACAATAGTAACTTGCGTTCTACTCCCTAACCTGGCACGTGTCACTACAATCTTTCACTTCCAGTCTGAAGACTAGGATGCACCCATATTTGTTAAAAATTATCACAGATTAGATGAGGAAAACAAAAAACAAGACAGCATATGGAAGCACTCTAGTGTATAGCAAACTTCTGAGCAAAATTAGCTCTACTTAAAAAGTAGACGTACATTACGATTTTGGCCAGCACAAACAAGTCCTCAGAGTATCAGATGTTCCCACAACTATTTTATCCTCAGAATTCCAAATTAGATTATGCTACTTTGCGAGTGATTAAGAGTGAAACTTTGGGTTCTGGAGCAGCATCCTGGGCAAATACATTCTGATACCCACTGCTCCAAGCCGTACCTCAAAGTGTGCTCTGCTGCTTGCACCTTACTTAAGCCAGCTTGATGAGGTTGGAAGAAGAGTCTGTTCATGTTTGCCAGTTCCACTTTGTCATAATCAAAGAGAAGCAGCTACAACAAAAATTGGATTAACATACGTGAATCTCCAAAGACTCTGCAACCCGAGCATAAAATGCCAGTGTGAGGCATTGTAAACAATAAACAACAAAACCCGCTTCTCCAAAGACTCTGCAACCCGAGCATAAAAGGCCAGTGCGAGGCACATTTTATTATAAACAACAAAACCCGCTGTAAAACCACCAACAAAAACCCAACCAAACAACAGCCCCCACCATCCCGTTCAGCTCACGTACAAAAGTTACGTGAGAGACTGAATTCAAACTGCCACTTACCAGGAACAGATTTACTAAGTTGTTAAACCCACACTTAACAAAAAGCAATCTCTTCATTTGAGCTACGCTAACAATATTCAACAGATCAGCTACATGAACGCGATCACCGCTGTTGCCACGTTCCTGCTTGCTGTTATGGCATTAACTAGAACCCTGTGACTCTTTCTGGGCATGTAGCTCTTCAGAAACAATTCATGCAAAATAGAGACTCTTCAGTTGTGAGGTTACGGAAGTGCTGTTCTTCACAGTGCTTTTTTATTTGGGCAAAGTCAGCCGAGCGAAATCAAATCTAACTCTGTGAAGAAGACTGGTCCAGCTACTCTAACGGAGTAGAAGGAAAAAGCTCTCCTTACCTTACCAATGCCACACCTTGTCAGCATTTCAGCAGTCACGCTGCCAACTCCCCCTACGCCTACGACTGCAACTGTAAAAGTGCGGATTTTCTGTCCAAAGAGAGAAAGCACAGGTCAGGGCATCCGAAGCGGTGCGCACAGGGCACACAGCCGGGCTGGTTCGATGCAGGCAGAATCCTACCTCGTAGTCTTTGACAATTCCCATTCTCTTCAGCGCCATCAAGCGACTACGGAGAAAACCAGCAACGTTACACAGAGCGCACTCT